CTTCAACTTCCTCAGGGCGGGACAAAGATCTTGGGAGAGAAGATCCTGTGTCTCCGAGGATTTAAATGAAAAGACAGCCTTTTGATGTAAGGAGAGACTGTCTCATCCATATTGTAAATGACACTCCTGTGCAGATAATTTAAAAATAATTAAATCCTCTGAGATTAAGTTTCTGCTATGCTACTTTTCACTTTGCTAGCTTTGGGGAGAAGCTAAAAGAGTTTTCTTTGTCAGCATCCCTTTAAAAAAGCATCATTGGATGTGAACCTTATTGAAAAGAAACTATTGAGAGTTGACCCAACACTGAGTTATTTTGGGAGAAAAGTTTAAAACATTAAAAAATACATAGATAGGAAGTCAAGAAATCATGTTTTCTTTTTTTTTTTAATACAACAGAGGCTGCATTTCTTCACTCTCTAGTCTTCTTCCTCTTTATATCTTAAAGGAAAGGATTTATTTTTTTTACCAAAATCCCAGGGATGCATTTCTGAAAGTTCCCAAATGTCCTGCAAAAATTTTGTGCATATGGGTATTGGTGGTGGTATTATCATCTTCTTAAAAGTCTATAATTCCTGCCAAAAAAAAAACCACCCAACCATAAAAGAACCATTAAAAAACCCAGATGGAATGTGGGTGAGATTAAATTCAATATCTTTATTCCAGTCTTACTTTCTTATAGTCTCTAGTAATTTCATTCTTCCAACTTTCACTTCCAGCTTTCTCTTCTGCCCAGAAGTACAATGTGAACAGATGTTCACATAGGGGAAAGGGAAAAAAATAATACGCTTACAACCTGGACACTGGCTGGTTAGCTCTACACTGTCTTGGGCACTTATATTCTAAAGCATAAAAATGTCACATGGAAAATACGTTGATGGGGCAGTAGTCTCCAAGTTCATTATTGGTCAAGTTGCACTCAAGGTCATGAAACAGAAGGATTCACAGGCCAAATAAAGCACAAGGAGGGCAACAGTAGGTTTCCAGCTGTGATTGCATGAAACACAGAGCATTCTGCATTATTATTCATTAATTATTGTATTATTTTCCATATGCACAGGGAACCTACCTTTGCCTCATATTGTGTGCTGAAAACACAGGGCTTATTGAATCAGTTACAAGGCCACAACATGAAGCAAGGGCAGATCCATGCAGTGGGTTAGGTCATTTAAGGTAGGGTGCAGAAGGATGGGGAGGGCCACACTAGTCCAATGTTCTGCAGTGTTCCTATCTCCTGCTTCTCCCTCTGCCACATCATCCACTCCCATGGATGGTGTGTTGCAAGGACCAGAGATCTGGTTTGAGCAAGGCAGGTGATGTAGGGAAGGGGTCAATGAATGAAACGTGCTTGCAGAGTTTCATTCATTGACAGACAGAGACAGAACGCCAAGTAGCTGAAATTCACCAGTTCCCTGGATGAGTGGCTACCTATAAAAGTGACCTAATTAAGACCTCAGAAATATTCAGTGTTTTGCATTTCTTATGTGTATGTAGGGTATCATGACTACATGGTGCTTTTGTGTATTTAGTGTATCATAAATACATAGTGTTTTTTTTGGTTCTTTCTATTTCTTCACACTCACATGCTCTAATTATTTCATCTTTCTTAAAGGTTACTCACTTTGTTGTGCTTAACACATCATATTAATTTTATTCATCACATTTGTTTTCTTGTCTTCTAGAGCAGAATTAAATATTCTTCAACAATACAGCAAATGCATATTATAGCACAGAATATTTTGTTCCTTGAATAGGAACTTCAACTTAGTTTAGATTATTCTGGACCAGAGAAATATAGTTTCTGATTATTTGTTAGCCATCAGTAACCATTCATAGCTTGAGAAATGGACACTTCTGATTTGGGTTGACCTGGAATTTAATCTTTGCAGGGATAAAAGCCACAGGTGTCAAGGAAAGTGTTCTTAGTGTTACATGTAACTCCGTATCTCCAGGTCTTCACACAAGATACATCGAGTAGCTGGTATACCTTAGGCATAACTATCACCAAATCCCTAAGCTTAAAAAGTGGGAAGAATGTATGAGGTCCTAGTAAGATCTAAAGTCTATTTCCTCTAGAGCCTCCAAATAGTGATTTTCTGCCTCTTTGAATGAACAGAATGCTTTCTCCTCTCTCACTTTTTGTCTCCATGGATGGTTCTTTCTTTGAGGAATTGTGTAGAAAGCCAGCAGTATTTGTAATTTAACATGTACAGACATTTCATCCCCCCGCCACCAGCCCCTTCCCCAACCTATCTCTGCAGGGGTAAAGAAGAACACAATGGCCCTTCTTGGTTGATTTTATTTTCATTTTTTATTGAAAGCTTCATCAAAGAAAACAGAAGTTTAAACCTAACATCCACTGATCTACAGAAAGCCCAAGGAATGGGGGAAATGGTAGCTAGTTTGACTGTGGTACAGATGGAAATATTAAAAATAAAACCAGAAACACCAGAGAATCACAGAACTTTCCATGACAGTCGGAGACAGCAGTACAAAAAGCTCTTAAATTAAGTTCAAAATTAAATGATGCTTCAGAAGTTCCATGAAGTCAAATATGGCCTGAAACAGGGTTTTTTTTTTTAAAAAAAAAAGCTGTGTCCCATTTTCTTTTAGAGACTGAGAATTTCATAGCCAGCACACTTTTACCTATATATTTTTTAAATTAAGATTCCAATGAATTCTTCTCCTTTTAAAGAAATGAAAGCATCAATTTCCAGAGTGCAGAAAACTTTTTCAAGTGTCTCTTCGAAATAGTATTTACAGTTCCTGAAAAGTATGAAATAACTCCTTTTTTTACATGTGAAGAAATAACATATTTAGGGAGGAGGAGAAAGCATCTTTCTTAATAATCTAAGACTAGAGGGTTTAAAATACAAAGCATAACACTGATGTTACACCTTGCAGACTATTTAAATTTGAAATGATTTTTAACATAAATCCACTGGAGTGTTAAGGTCATTCAGCTTTAATACAGTGATGCAAAGTCAAAAAAACCCAAACAATGCATTTTTTTTTTGGTGTGTGAAAGATTTCAGATAAGGATATGAGTGTGTATTTAACCAAGAGCTGCTATTATATTCTCATCACTGAATTTTGAGTTGACCTTTGCTACTGGTTCAAATTTCAAAAGTGAACAAAACCAAAACAGCCTTTGAAGAGAGGGGAGCCAATTCCTTGCTCATTTTTTCCTTTATATTCTGCAAGAATACAGCCAACTCTCAATTATTTGTGGTGGATGGGGAAAGGGACCAGGGCCCTCATGGGTAATAAAAAATCAATGGTATATAACACTCTGACATTAATTTTTACAAATGATGTTCAACTCCTTCAAACAGCCAATACTTAACAAGAAGCAAAATAGACTGATTTGAATTTTACTTCCAATTGTTTCTTTTTCCACCCTTAGGGTGACGTTAATAAACAGAAATAGAGACCCAAGTCTGAAGAGTTGAAAAGAAAAGACAAAAGAAAACCACGGAGTAGATAATTAGCCCTTCAAAAATTGGGAGTGATGGGATTTCTGCAAGGTTCAGTCATGGGCGGTTCCGAACTGGAGTGAAGGAAATGGAAGAAGAGGTGACTGAGGGACCCAGGGTCCTTCCTGCAGACTCCTAGCGAGGTCTTACCTCTGCTTCAGTCTTACCGCTTCCTGGTGGAAGAAGCACTTCCTGAAACGTGATTTTCCTTCCCGTAAATACAAAGAAATGAACATAGAGAAGCCATTCATTCTCGGGTGTGTGTGTGGGTGTGTGTGTGTGTGTGTGTGTGTGTGTGGGAGCACATGTACTGGGGTATAAAAACAAAGATAAAAGATACCAACAACCTGGGGAGAGCTCCCTGCCCTACATCATTAAAGATTTGGGGAGCCACTCAGGGATCTCATATTTATTTAGCTTTTGTATCTGAACCATGTAATCCAGAGAGGGCGGCCATGCCCAAGAGCACTTGGATAAAAAGACTAACTACATATTTTAAAGTATCTGGTAAAAATTGTTAAATTCAGGTTAGATTCAGCTGTCTTCCAGTGCTACAGTGGATGTCATTTGTAGAAGGAACTGATTCATTAATGAAATCCCATTATCATTTTGCCACAGGAAGGGGATAGTGTACAAAATCAATGAGCCTGTTCCAATTCCATGGGTCCTGTAGACTGGAAGGAGCAGCTGTCAGTCCTCGCAAGCTCAGAAGGTTGGAGCATGCTAAGGCACAACATGGAAACCAAATCTCATCCTTTACTCCCTACTGTGCATGAAATACTGTGGACCAAGGGCTCCACGACGGGTGTTAATGTTATTTTGACATGATCCTCAAATGTGCTGAATGTTGCTATTCGCATACACAAATATTATCCTTTCGTTTGATTTTATATCAGATGAAAACAATTATCACTGCAACCTGCTTAAGAATTTCTCTCCCCTTATCAGCTTATCTGTAATGGTTTGTGTGCTCAAATTAAGCATGAGGCTGAATTGTCAAATGTACTTTTAGTCTCCTACTAATAATATAATCTGTCTAGACAGTACATTGAAGCTTCTCAATCATGAAGAAGACAGCACAGGTGCTAGTGAAATGAAATCTCACTTTTCCTTAATGGAGACTTTAGGCTGCTGTTAAAGATACATAGGTATGTAATTGGCATACCAATTATTCAAACAGTTGCTTTTTGGGGAAGGAGGGAAACTAAGTACTTTTTTGGGTCATACATGAATTGGAAATACTTGTAAAGCAGTTTTGCGAAGGGTCGCTGTATTCTGTCGGACTGTGAACTTCCTGTCCCATCCACCCACCTGCTGCTCTCAGCCTTCCAGATCTCAGAGGAGTGCTTTTAACACCATGAAGTTTTTCGTTAGAAAGGATGAAGGTGAGTCTTACACTCTGTCAAATGTAGCAGAGCCATCAGGGTCACAGGAAGAATTGATTCAAGGGAAGCATGGATACCACACCCGAACAATCGAAATCTACCAAGGAAACAAACTAGCCCTGACCAAACTGGAGTTTTTGTGGGGGTTTTTAAAAGAATATTATGCCACTTGCAATATTCAAGACATGCCAGTGTACAAAGGCAAAGAGTCACCAGCCCCTGCTCGTATTATAATTAGTTCACTTGCGGCCATAACGTCTCCTGGAGTCAGGGCCTTGCATGAGGAGCCCCCAGTCGCCGGGCACACTTTTCCACCCCTGACCGTCTCTTATCATTACTTAAAATCACCGCACTCCTCCACTGACCACTAGAGTCACTAGAGTCTGGGTGAGATAGTGTTTATCCCACTTGGATTCTGGCTTTAGTTTGTTTCCTGTGCTTTAGGTGAAATCTTGGCAATTGAAGTTGAAAGGAAAAATTGAACACTTGAGCACAGGCTTGAAAACCTGGTGGACCAGAATACTTAAACCAAATGTATATCATCCTAAAGAGGATTAAAATAACCAAAATAGGATTCTGATGTCTGCATATATTGAACACATATTTTGGTTTGTTTTTATTTTTCATACAGTGTAATGCTGCTTACCTGCTGATGCTTTTCCCCCCAAGACATGACTTTTAGAAACAATGATTAATCAGGGAAGATGACAGATGCGAACTTGAACATGTGCCATTTTTTTCCTTCTTTTTTTTCTTTTCGATTTGAAATAAGACATTGTATAGAATGGCAGGATGCAAAAAGTCCAAACACAAAACACACATGGATACATAAACTGACAGGTAATTTCCTTTTGCCTGACGTGGCTTAAAAAAATTGAGATCATTGAAATTTCATAGTTGAAAAAAATGTTTCTGAATGTATAAATAAAGCAGTAGTTTTGAATAAAAACAGGAAGTTACCTAGGCACATTCATCAGCCACATGGTAGCTACCTCTTAGCCTCATCACTGATTGTATAAATGAGACTTTCTTTGTATCACATTTAAGTTTTTTTTTATAGAAACAAAAGAAAACGTGTTGGTTTCATATTCAAATGAATTATGCCCAGGATAATCCTTATTTATACACAGAGTGCAGAGAGTGAAAAAAAGAGACAGAAAATACAGTTTCCATACATGTTTGCCTCACCCCCTGAAATTTGGGGGCCCACTTCTCAAAGATAAAACTGAAGCACCACCCTTAAGATACCAGAGAGGCTGAAGGATGGAACAGAAAAAAGTAGAAACCTTGGATTCTCACGAAAGCATGGAAAACCATAAGGATGGGTGTGACCGGTTCACATTTCTCTGTAGCATGCTGCAATTTCTTGGATATGTTTTTCACCTCTAATTTGACCATAAAGATATGGAGTCTTTCTCAAGATTTGAGTTCTCAGTACATGATGTTGCAAATAAGAGAACCAGGTCTATTTCAGCACTCAGCTTTTGTTGGTATGTCATAAATGGTGAAATATTGAAACTTCTATACAAGTCAAACTCATGACTCCTGTTGATCTAATGGAACTATGATTTATCTTTTAAATTTTAAAAAAGTTTTTAAAAGTCTACTCTGCTTTCTTTTACAGTGAACTTGGTGCATTTCACTCCCTTTTCTGGACTAAGTAAAACAGGTTCCTCTGACAGTTTGTGAAAAGAATTTCCCTTCTTTGATTCTAATGATTCATTAAGAAAGCAATTTTAGGGTCTAGTTCAGTGAATAACGTTTCATTGCCTTTTGTTTCAAGTGAAACTGTACAGGTTGGATACGGATTTCATGAACCAAATATGCGGAGATGTTTGTTACATCAATATAATTCATTTTAGACACAATTTTGCATCTTCCTCAATGCAAATATATCCCTTTGGCTTTAATGATTGATCAAACCTAATTGTTTTGGTTCTTATTAATATCAATCATATAATTTCTTGATTGTCAACTAGCATTTCAAAAGCTTACCTAAATTCCACTAACAGAATCCTCAATCTTATTGGTTCTACTTCCCTCAGAGAGTTAAATTGAAATAATAAGGTCTATTTTGTCTTTCTTCTGACAACACCAGGATATGAAAGTACAGTGAAAAAAGGCAAAAAGACCTCCCTTCCCCACTGTGGAATCAAGGTGACTATTCATGGTGGGTCACAACCAAGACTAAGGTGCAAAGACAAAATCAAGAGGTGTTGGAATTTAGAAGGAAGACTATTGTTACAAATACAATGAGGTCTTTTCAGGAAACCACTCACCATTTAACACAATATCACTACGCTTTTTTTTTTTTTAACAAGTGACCCTTCAGACCAGGTTCAGGAAGTGCCTTTAGTTCAAAATTCACAAAAAAAGAAATTTCAACCTGTTAAAAAAGTGTCTCAGCTTATTGGTGGCCATCAATACAGGTTTCACTATTCCAGACAGCTAGCAAAGAACTGGAAAAGCTCATGGAATGGAAAGCCAGTCGGCTCTAGCAGTTGGTTTCCAGAACTCTTCACGCTGAAACTGCTGGGCACAGCAGGTGCGAGCTTCTCCTGTCCACAAATATACAAAAAAAATTTTTTTGCAGTATGTAAAATACCAGTGGAAGGTAGTTTAAACAAACAACAAAATAAGAACTGGTCCGGCCATGTAAGGTCAAATAAAATTTTTTAAAGAAAAGTAAAGAAAAACAACCTCTATCTTCCGGACTGCAACAGGGTGCCGCTTCATCTTTGGTATAAAATAGGCCATCCATAGGCTGAATTTGATCACAACTAGGAAAGACTACAGAAATTGTCAACAATTTCTCTATCTATTGCTTTTTTTGTTTTTTTGTTTGTTTTGTTTTGTTTTGCACTTTTGACCATAAGCTCCTATCTACTTAAGTTTTTTTTTTAATGCTTTTAAGCTAGGTTTTGCAATGTGACAAGCAAAGCTGACTAAAAACTTTGTAAAGCTCATAAAAAAGACTGCAGATAAAAAGCACTAATGCTTTTGCTAGCAATCACGCTTTGTAAATTAAAAAAATTCTGCATTCTGCCCCCAAACACGCATTATTTCTAATGCAGTTGTTTTTAAACCAACCTTAATAACTTTACCATAAAATGTTTTAGCCTTCCAAATGGTTCAACACTTAAGACAAAGTTCAAGAAAAGTCCCAGCATTTTGCCAATTCTTGCAGTTGCCATGGTTTCTTTTATCAACAAATTTTCTTCAAATGAAGAAAAACATTTTCTTTTAAACTGTACAGTTTTTTTGTCACCCTAAAAACTCATAGTCTTAAGCTTCTGTACCAGTTAAAGCTGGCACAATATTTCAATTCTTTCTTGATTTTTTTAACAAGACGTTGACAGCTTGCCTCGAGAGCCTTTGACGTCCTTAAAATTAAGGCAATTAAGATTCAAGATAAATCTTACCTAAATATTTCTAAGAAAAAAAATTAAAAAAACAATCCACATTTAAACAAGAAAGAAAAAAAAGAAAGAGTAGCTTAATTACGAGGAAGACAATTTGTTTCCATTTCTGCTTGTCCACCTCTTGACATCAGATTTTTTGTTAAAAAAAATCTATCTACACCTTCAGGTCAATTCTGAATTCAAATGTTCTTCCAGATAAAATGTCAACCTTCCATGTTTTGTTTTGTTTTCATTTTTCCTCTTCTGGGATTTCTTTTTGCTGTAATAAAAAAATGATGGCAAAAAATAAACTGTCAGACCACATGAAGGACCCATTTGCACAGCACACAAAACGCGTTGTTTCCATTGGGTAAAGTACAAAATTAAAAAAAAAAAGAAAGCATTCCATTGACGCCTGTGCAAACTGGAAGCCAACTTCTTGTTCAATGAAGTTTCTTCATTCAAGGCAAAGTTTCGGACGGACATTCTTCAGTCTTGTTTATGGTCTGTGAAAGCAATTGAATAAGAGTGGTTATAAAATCTAAGCAACTTTGCAATCCCCTTCTGTGCTCTTTTCCAGAGAGGTCTCTTTAAAAGATACCATGCTCTTTAAAAATAACAGTCATCAATGAAGTTGTAGAAACATACTGGGCTGCTTAAAGGGCCAGATGCTGCCACTTTCACACAAATACAAACTCAAGTCAGCAGTTGTGTTCACATCAAATATCAGGGCTTATAGATCAAGAATCTCTTCCAATTCTAAAGTGATAAATATTACCAATATACCCAGATAGGAAATATTCCCTTTGTGAATAGAACTTATTTTTTTGTTGCCTGCCTTATGTTGTAGCTCCCCCCAGAAATTCTTTGAGTAATCCATTCATAACTCCCAAGAGATTCGTCATTCACTTAGTCAGCAAATATGTGAGTCCCTACTACATCCCCAAGATATAGCAACGGACTGTGTGTTACCTATGTGCTAAGTAATCACCCAAGTAATTGAGTAAGGCAGCTAAGAGGGCAATGTGGTTTTGTTCACCTTCCCTCTTTCTTTCTTATTCATCTTAATCGAGATTTCAAATTATTGAGAGCAAAGACTCTATCTTATAAACTTTATGTTGTCTAGAAGTCTGGCAGAGAGGCATGCACATAATAGGTGTTTAACTTGACAAATATCTTTTTTACTATATGCTACTTTGCCTAGGCCAGCCCAAGTAATGTCTACCACTCCTGCTCCATCTGTATTGTAGGACTGAGCATTTAGTGGGTTGACCTTTACTCTTAGATTTTCCACTCACAGATCAGAATTTTGCTAAATAACATCAGGGGTGTGCTATAAAAAGAAGAATCTTTAAAGTATCTGGAGGTCATATGTATGCAGGTGAAGCACCTTCCCTCAGCGCTTCTGATGCCCAGTTGCTTAATTTAGTAGAGGAACCTCCAGGCTGCTGGGTATGGGTGTGCAGGTTGTTCATGGTATGAGATGCATGGGTGAGGAAGCCCAGTGGGGCTAAGCTCTAGCCATTGATTTTTTGCTCAACCTATTTACTCTGGTGCAGGCCTGCATTTAACTTGAATAGGTGGGTCTTATTCAAATTGACAAAAAGCCCTCAACAATGTTTTAATCCATATGATAGCCTGCAATGACTCAGAGGGGATGTGTTTTCTTTTGAGGGAGAGAGAGGGTGAGAAACATGAATTGGTTGCGTCTTGTATGTCCCCAACTGGAAACCTGGCCCACTGCCCAGGCTTGTGCCCTGACAGGGAATCAAACTATTGTGAGTAGGCCTTTAGTTCACAGGCCTGTGCTCAATCCACTAAGCCACCCCAGCCAGGTCAGGAATGCTCTTTCTACTTTGCAAAAAGCCCTCTTATGAGTCTGCTATGGCTCTTGCACCCAGATTATTTTGTATCTAGAATCATGTAAGGGAAATGTCTAGTTGGTAAATTGAATATATCCATTTTTAACTAATAGTTTAAGTCTCTAGAAATACACTTTTCTGAGTTATGCAGGAAAAATGGGATTTCTTCTAAGAAGAAATGCAATTAAAATCTCCATTGTAGCAGTAACAATAAGGGACATTTTGTTAGAAGTAGTAGCCATGGAAACCATGGTATATATTTGATCCCTCTCTATGCCTAGCAAAATGTAGACTTACTCCATTTATATCTAAAAATCCAACTTTTATGGTTTTGTGTTTTTGCTTGTAACAAGCAAAATATTAAATTTAAAAATATAATGTTTTTAAATTTATTCTTTGCTCCTAGTACCATCTTCGACCCTGGCTCTATAAGGTATCAAGTAGGAAATGCATGAAATGCCATAAACCTCTGTAGGAGCTGCTCAATGAACAGTGTCTTCCTCTGTGGACCTCACCATCAGAGAACACCTGCAGTGCTCAGGTGTGGCTCGTGCACTGGTCTCCAGGCATCCACATTGATGAGCTGGGCAGGAGCTATTGTCAAGTTTTATAACCCTACACGAATGTTCCTAATAGCCCTCTCCCATCACTTGCTCAGTCCTTCAAGTAGTCTCATTGCTGCATGTAAATAAAGGAGGAGAAATAAATGGCTGTACTTTACATTTTCATGGTAGCTAGCAGAAGTTTGAAGGAAAAAAGTACTGCTATTTATTAGAACCGAATTCACTCCCCTCTGCCTTCTCTGTTCCAGGTAAAGTGTGAAAGTGCGCATTTAAATAATGACTATTGATTATCCATAAAAAGAGAGATTTTTATGTATATCCATACAAACAGCAGTTTTCTCAATTTTCAAGGCTGTGATTATAACAGACAAGAATGCTTTAAATTGGACAGTGAGGTTATTTTAGAAATAAAATTGGCTGCAAATTAAAAGGACGTATGTATCCGTGTGAAGGAGCATAAAAAGTATTTGTCAACTGTAACGTTCTGTGCAAACAAAATGTATTATTACAAGCTTAAAGGTCATGTGAACATGGCAGCCAAGGGAGCAACATACACATCACTGACGAACTTACAATGCACAGGGGGCTGGTGGTCATGACCATTCAGTTAGCCAGAGAAGACGAGAAAAATAAAAAGACCTTGCCATACTGGGGCTGCAATAAGGGCCTTCTAAGGTCAGTGTGGAAGTTGGAAGACTAGGAGTTTGAACTTAAGATCACAGATCATTTTGAACTCTCTCTTCCTCCATTCACTTCCCCCCTCCGCCCCCCACCTCTCCCCACCCAAATAAAGAAAAGCACTGTGAGTAGACTAGGAAGTAGCAAAGGGCCATCTTGGAATTCTAGACTTTCAGGGATGGAAGAAGTCTTAGAGTTTATCTAAGAATGCAGCATCCCCCTGCGTCTTTCCTGATGGCTCAGTCTCATGTAATAAAGCCCTGTGAAAAGAAGGATTCTGTGGTCCGGAGTTCAGGAAAAACTGCACAACAAACCAAGTATGCGGTTAGGGCCTCCATGGAAAAGGATACCTAATAAAAAAACAAGTATTTGAAAGAATGTAATCTTTTAAATTAATATCAAAAGCACCATCATGTGAACAATAAAAAATTTTTGTCAGATTTCTTTAATAATTTTACATGTTAAAAAAATAAAACCTAGAATGCTAGAGGAGGAGGGCAGGACACACTAATCTTTCAGGAAGTAAAACATTTCAAATATTTTCTCTGGCCCTCTAGGGGGTCACAGTCATTAGCATTTAAATAGCTTTGAAGAGAACTGCAATTAAGAAAGCATTCGCTTAGGTTACAGCACTGTTTCCCAACTCAATGCTGACCACCCTCCCCACCCGACTGCAGGAAGCGTGGCTAATCCTTCCTCAATACTAGAGGTCTGATTTACAGTCTTTGGAGAACAATCCAATCTCTCACTTTCAAGCAGAGTTTGAAAAGGAAGCTCGGAAGGGTTGAGTGAGGACCCATCAGTGACAAAGAAAAAACTGATTAAGTTGGGCAGGAACTGGAATTTCCATGGAAATTCCAAAATAAACCACAGGTATCACTGTTTTCCCTTTTGGGTTAAGAGTCCAGAGTCTCTTTTGCAGTAGTGTCTCTTTTAACAATAGGAGAAAAAAAAAAAAGCAGCATGACTACAAAACGTGAAGACCTGTTTTTTAACTGATAAAGTAGACTTTGGAATGTTCAAATATTTGCTGACATATTCCCCAAATATAAACTTTGTATTCCTATGCATATCATTTATATTTCTTAAACTTTTATCCTGTGACCTTCTGCTGTGATGTTGCTAATTTACTTAAAAATACCTTTAGTGTAGATGTGATGATGTTACATGTATGTGTGATGATGGGTTAAACTACTGTTCATGGGCACCCTAATCAGAACGTCACAGCCCACAGGAGGGCAGCCATCATTTAATGAGACAGGCCAGAGGTCTGTACAAGCACTTTAAACTATCCATATCTCAGTTAACATAACGATTGTTAGAAATGGGCTGCCTGATGAAAGAAAGTAAGGGAATGACAGGACAATGATGCTGGAAATAAGCTACCGTTGGTGAACTTCGGAGCACTCAAGATAACACGGGTTGCCAAAAATATTTTAGAACCACTCACCACTCTACATAAAATGGAGAGGTGGAGCTGTGTAGAGAACTGTGTAGCTTATAACTGTAGGGATATTTATTGCCTTGTGACTTGACCTCAAAACAAGATTTTGAGGAGATTTCTGGTGGCCTTTCGAAGGATAACATAGTACTATGTCTAGAAAATGGTGGAATGTATCCAAGTGAATTTTCCATGATTTTGGATTATTTAAAAGACTAGAACTGGGACTGTATCGAGTGTGTACAGGGCATGCGGCATAAATTGTCATGTGTCTCCTTTCTAATGGATATTTCTTTAGTAGATGCCATGGCGGGTGCTCTTGCATCCCCAAACATTTCACAGGGATGGTGATATAATCCAATGAACTCAGGTGTTTACATAACTCAAACACTGAGCTCTATTCCCAGAGTCTTCTTTGAATGGTTCTGAAGAATCTCATGTCTTACCATGTCACAGGTCAGCTTCCCTTAGCTGAAATTGATAAAAACTTGGATAGAGTCACATTAATGTCTTCCTTTTATAACACCTCAAAAGCGATTGCCATCCACCTATTTATCAGACTTAGGGTATTGTCTTTTCTTTCATTCAATATTTTGTTGTTTTGTTATTTCAAGTCAAAAGCTCCTTGCACTTTGTAGTGTTGTTAAAGAGAAGAAGTTAAGAATATAAACAGAACCTGTTAAACTTTTTCTCCAGGTTTAAACACATGTCTGCAAGGCAATGCAAAGTGATTGTCACATGTTACACATTTTGAAATGTCCTATGTTCCAGGGTTGCTTTTGCAGCTCTCATGTGGCAGCAGCCACAGAGCACACCCTGTGGAACATCCTGTACCACACAGTCCTGTGTGAGTGCAAAAGAAAATTCCTCCAAAGGAGGAAGTGTCTTACCATAATTTTTACCCCTATGAGGACATGGGATGAACGACTTTTGTTCTTGGTATTTATTATCCGTGGAGAGCTCTTCATTATCGACCATAGGAACTCGTGGCTCAAAGACCATAACCATGGTGCTACCAGTTTTAACCTTGAACACTTAAAATTTTATGAGGTCACATTCAGACTTCCTCAAATATTTCAAGGAATGAAGCTTCTTGGAAGAGACTCATTGTAAGAACAATTAGTTCCTTGTCTTCCTTCACTAATCACACCCTCCTGATTTTGTCTCATCCACCTTTGTCAGTGGCATCATAAATTCAATAGTATTACTTCAACTTTAAAAATCCTGTTCTCCTTTTTTTCTTACTTCACTGTAACTCCCTATCACCCAGTCTCACCATTACACTGGCCACCATCCTACTTCAGAAATCTGTTCACTTTTGTCTGAGCCATTGTAACAACAGGACTGTTCCCACTGCTTCCAAATCCATTGTCTACTTCAACTGGAAAAACATGTGAAGAACAAAGAAAAGGCCGTTCAAGCACCTCAGTATGGCACCTGATAGGAGAAGCTGGGTCCAATCTGCCTTTTTACACTAGGCTATTACTCTGCATCTACTTCTCAATGAAATACTCTTTTAAGGTTTCCCATGCTTGGATATGGTCGAGATGTAATTACACCTGGAACATTACTCCTTCCTGTAAGACACAGTTCTGATTGCTACAACCTCCACCAAAGCTTATACAACCAAGAAAAATTAAATGCATTCTTCTATGACTCACTACAGTATTTTTAAAAAGAGCCTTATTCATTTTCTTCCTTGTTTCTTCCTTGAAGTCTGCTTATCTTGTCTATGTATAGATCTAAATCCCATACTAGACTGTAAATCCTTGAGGGCAGAGATCCTGTCTCTTAGCCTAGTACCCAGCAGAAGGTATTACAAGTAAAACAGGGCCTACATGTGGAGGTGGATGGGTCGGGCAGAGCACTTGCCTATCCATCTCATCAGGGAAAAGTGTGGATGACCCTCAGGAAGACCATCTCATTGTGGGCTGACAAACAGGGGCAACTAAAGCTCATTTAATCAAGCAGGGAGATGAGGAGGTTCTGGAAAATTACAAGAGGGGGAAATCTGCAACCTGGAGGCCATCCTCGAAATACATCTCTCTATACCCATCCTCCATTGGTAATAGAGTCATTGAAATATACATAAAAGTTAGTCGTTTCTTCTCTTAAATACCTTCAAAGGTTTTCTAGCTAACTTAGCATAAAACCAAGAATAATTACTGAACGCAAAGTCAAGTACTGAAGGACCAAAGGCTCTATAAAAGCTAACCTGTTTGACTTCATCTCTAATAACTCTTCCCCCTGTGGGCCTGCCCACCACATTTGAGCCTCAGGTGCCCACTCCAGATCTCTGAATTGGTCTAGAATGCTTCTGCTCTAAAACTCTCCGAGAACACCTAATTATCTTTCAGACTAGGCCTATAGGAAAGACCTTCTCAGATACAAGTCTTAGGTAACTACATAGTCACTTTCTTTTATAAGAATCTTTTTAGGCAGTCTACTTTGAAATTCTATTTCCTTTTTGATTATTTCCTGATTGATCCATTGATTCTGAGTCCATTCCTAGTAGAAAATAAACTCCAAGAGTGGAGGAGGCAGCTGCCTCTTTCACTGGTCTTTTGTTGGCATGTAGAATACTACCTGTCACATAGTAGGCAGTCAATCAATAATTGTTGATTGGATAAAGGAAAGCATAGTTATCATTTATCCAGACATCATTAAATTGTTGGCAAGAAGGGTCTAGGATCACTTTCCTCATTACACTTTAAAACAGGCCAATTTTACCTACCTACAAAGACTCAAAAAATGATTTTGGCAAATATGGTATCTCTCATCTCCCATTAGCATCTTCCACTGTGTTTCCACGTTGCCAATCTCCACTCTGTATCATCAGATTATATGGAGAAGACTGAAAAAAAATCTAATATGCTTGGTACCAAGCACCAGAGTCTACCATATTGTTCGGTACATGTAAAAGTGACTCACACAGGCCATAGGTGAGTTTTTAAAAAATGCCTTATTTACTATAAATCTTTTCTAAAAGCTATGTGTTAGCAGTTATGATGAGGATGATACCTTATATTTGTAAGGTTGAATCATGTTCTGAATATATTTAATTCATAGAAGTGACTTTAGAAGCTAAACCACATCTAGAAGACTACATTATCATGATGAATGTTTCAACAACCCAAAAAATCTCTAAATATAAATTGATATTAAAGAAGAATGATGATTAAGAAATGGGACAACACTATGCAGATGGAAAGGATCACTGGGAATTTTCTGTTTACCAGGCCTTTGGTTGTTATCCATGAAGTAGAATAGTTTGCATGACATCTGTATATGGACTGAACTTTTGTTAATTTCTTTGGTTTCTATCAAAACTGCTCATATTTTTATTTTTTATTTTTTTGAATATGTAATCTTTATTATATTTTCCATTACTATTTAGTCCCTTTATACCCTCCTCTGCCTAGCAGAAATCTACATAATTACTTCATTCAAAGCCAACTCTACTTTTCTTAAGTGATTTAAGAATTTTCAAGGGTAGTTGTGACTACATGATTTTTTCTTTGCCATATATTCCTGAATAACACCCTACTCTCTGTTATTTTATATTTTACAATATGGTTTTTCATGAATGATATCACTGGGTGTACAAAATAACCCCGTGAAAAAATTTGTTACTGTTTTCATTTAAGAATGAGAAAAGGGAGACCAAAATATAGCCTCACTATTTAGTTATATGTGGGAAGATTAGAGTTTTTCCAAAATATATGTCATAATTTTTTTTCATAAAAATTGCTACAATGGTCTTTTCTGCATCCAAGCCTTTTGGTAGTGAACTTGGGCTTGGCCATGTGTAGTGTTTTGGCCGAAGGGGCAGCAGCAAATGAGTCACAAATAGAATTGAAAAGTGCCGGTCATTTTGGCTTCTTCCCTCGTTGAACTTCTGCCCTTCCACGTGAATAAGGCTGCTGGAGGGTCAAGAACATGTGGCTCAATCGCCTCCATCACTCCACCAACAGCCAAACAACACCCAGAAGCTGACCTGCAAAAATGACCAGCAGCTCTCTGGATGCTTGAGCAAGTCCAGTCCACTCTCCACCTAAGGTCAGCTCCAATTACCAATCCACCTAAGCATGAACTGAATAAATGTTTTCATTAAGTATGAGGGGTCTTCATTGCAGCAAAAGGTAACAGGTACAACATGAGAGAGTGAGGTCAAGATGGTTGCTCTTGAGGGAAAATGCTTAGTAAAGCCCAAACTTACTTAGACTGTTGGTAAGAATATGCAGATGCATGTTCATTGGATGTGTCCACTGCTATCTGTTGCTGCTGACCACTGGTGTCCTGCGATGAAGGTGCCACTGTCTGGGGAGAGGTATCAGCAACAACACCCTAAGGAGGCAAATAAGAACAGAGAGCCTTGTTGGCTTCAGCAAAGATCCCTCTTTCTGATGAACAGTATCCCTCTTCTACTTGGCTTGAGTGGCATTGCACTCAGCTACATGAAACCACAATAAGTATGCAAAGGAAAACCACAGAGCGTATTTGTAGAAGGCTTGAGAAATCCAACTCAATGTGTAACCAAGAAGCCTTGCTATCAGAAGTCCTTGGAGCAGTGAAATGGTCAGAAAGTCATTTTGTCCATACTTAGAACTTTTAAATCACAGGTGTATATAGCCACACTAAATGGTAATTTATTAATAACAAATTCATACAGGAAAAATTGTATTAATAATTTTCTTTGGATAGTGTACTGCACCAAGTCTAAGATCTGGCAAAACAATAAACTCTGACCTTAATAAAAATCTACATTAAAGTTTGAATTTTTTTAAAAAGAATACTGTTAAGGAGGTCTCCCTTCAGACATTTGATTTGTTTTATTTTGTTTTGTTTTTCACAATATGACCTGGAATTCAGTTAGAGGTTTCAGAAAAAGAACCAAACAAACATCCTTCATTTTGATTTTCTCTTTCCCTCACCCTTTCTTTCCTTGTTCCTCACATATGTCAACAAGAATGAATTTCTGAAGTTGGTCATCATTAGGAACATATGTTTGTTTCCCAGAGAGCCATAGGTGGTTTTATTTGGTAATTACTAGGCTTAAAAAGGCATCTGTCTGAATATATTCTCCTGGTTTCACTTATAGCCTTGGACACCTGCAGCGATATTGGATTTCAAATGTTCTTGGTCAGCTCTCCATCACTAAACATCCCTGAGTTCCTTAGAAACCAAAAAGTCTCAGCATATTAATCCAATATTTTCCCCTAATACTATTTGGTATTGTGCATTTTTTCCTGGACTTTCCATCTATGTTTACTTGTATGGATACTGGTGAATTTTCAGTGAGTGTTTTTATGTAGGAAATGAGTCAGTATTTATCCTTGTGAGCATAAATTCAATGTGATATGTCAGTGTACTTCTATTTTTATTCATAAATGACTTCTTTTTAAATCCTGGATTTAACTATAATTAGACTATTTCCAATAAGCCACACTAACAAATGTGTCTCTTTATTTTAGAGTCATCAAAATGCTCAAATTCTGTAGCTAAGTATATTCCTTTGGCACAGAGATAGAGAAATGCAACTATGTGGTAGAGATTTATATTTAAATGTTCAGGTTCATGATTTCCTCTTGTCCTACATGCTTTTGATAGCTAAATATGGCAAACAAAATGCATTTTAATTGCATAGGCTTAAAATTCTGAAAATCCTATTAAAATCTGTTTAATACTGACACATACTTTGGGGCCTGCAGATCTGGGCCTGGAACACATGAAAGATTTAAAAACTGGACCTCTCTGGATTCCTGTATTACACTGCAGTGTCCTTTTAAATGTCTGCATCTCCCAAGCCTCAGTAGCAGCAAACATGTGTTGCGTACCAAATGGATGAGTGGATTAAAAATGTGGCATATATATATATATATATATACATATATATATATATATATATATATATCAGTGTGGGACAACAGTACGCTAATAGTCCTTTGTATGGAAAATAAAGCAATGATTAAGAAATAATAACATAAGAATAAACTCTGTTTTGCATACTCACAACTGTAAACCTACTTTGCCCTACCCCGTCTAAAATGGGACACTACTCATAAAAAATGAAATACTGCCATTTGTGACAACATGGAGGGATCAGAAGGGTACTACGCTACGTGAAATAAGCCAGGTGAAAAAAGACAAAAAAAAAGAGCCCCGTATGATTTCACTCATATGTAGAATATAAAACAAAAAATAAATAAACAAACCAAACAAAAGCCAATTCATAGGGACAGACAACTGACTGGTGGTTACCTGAGGAGAAGGGGTGTGGAGGAGGGAAAAATGGGTCAAATATTAGGTGACAAATGCAAACTAGACCTTTGGTGGTGAACACGATGTAGTATATACAGATGGCGACTTACAATGTTACACACCTGAAACTTATACAACATTATAAACCATGTTGCCTGAATTTTCTTTTAACTCAAATTTTGATTCAGTAGGTTTGGGTTATATTTGAGAGTTGGCAGTTTTAAACAAGCTCCCCAGTGATGCTTAGGATGCTGGTCCAGGGGCCACTCTTTGAATAACAAGGCCACTCTTTGAGTAACAGGGAACTAGAGAACTAGCTCCTTTAAATATTTGCAAACTTTTCCCCCTCTCTATTTATGGGTATTTGTGGTTAACATTTGGTGGGGTAGAGGTTCAGTCTCTGATCTCTTCTCTAAATATGACAGTGACACTTCTCACATACCTTTCTAACAAATTAACTTATTTTATGTGCAAAGGAAAACCTAGGCCTGTCCAAATAAAGGCTTGCATTTTTATATACTGAGCTAGCAATTTCAAGTTTCAGAGCAGCACAAAAGCCACACGTAAGGATTCCTTGGGTTATGGGGGCCACAGTGTACGTGGCTGAGATGTATCTCTCCGACCCTCTTTCTATAACACAGAGACGGACTTACTTCAATAGAAACAGCTGTCGGAGGCACAGGCGTGTACTGGGGAATGTAGGTCCCTTGCATAGGAGCAGCAGCAGTCATATACTAGAGGGAATCAAAGAAAAATGCAGGTGAACTTGGGATTGCAATCAATGAGAAAAGTAGATGTCACATCAGATATCTGGTCCATGGCCAGTGCATGATTCAGGTTAAACTTTATTTTGACCCAAAATGATGCAGTTCCTCTCGGCATAGAATTACCTCTTTTTACTGATTCAGTACCACTTCCAGCAAGAGTACAAATAGCAGCCCACTTCCAGCAAGAGTACGAATTAATTCACCCCTTTTTGCTCACTTTATTTTTGTAAACAGTCTGTATCAGGTCTCAAATATTTCACTTTCACATCTAAAACATAAACTCGATGAGGGCAGGGATCATGTCCTGTTCTTTCTCGATTTTAGTGCTGGCATCCATCATGTAGTAGACTCTCAACAAATTATTTGTTGAATGAATGAATCATATTGTTAGTAATGATTTCTTGTCTAAATAAAAATAATAGAGGAGTAATGCAAGAAATATTTCTGTAGCGATGTTCAGAATTGGCGAACGTCATCACTTTGTCATTTTCACATCACTATTTTATATATTAAACCACTGGTGTTGCGGAGACGGTTGGAACTTCCTTCTTTCCCCTCTCTACCCCATCCTCCTGTCACTGCCAGGATTTCCTTTTCAACTCCTTAAACTCTCCACGTTTTCTTCAGCCAAATAAACACTGAAACATTCAGATCATTTTTTTCACTAAGTTTTAGCATTTGGTAACATATGTACCAGGGATAAAATGTATTTTTTGCAGAAAAATGACGTGTTCGCCTTATAGAATGTATGGCCCATGTTCCTATTTCTACTATAACCCCCACCCATAAATTCAAAGTTCTACTCTTTGAGAATGGAATTTTCTATAAAATCAACTATATTTCTGAGTTTCTAAACTTGATGAAGATAACAAAACTTTAGAATCAGAATCCTCTAATGAAGACAAAGTTTCTGAATTCATGAAGGTTGGAAAAATTATGTTTGTGTAAAATCACACGCCTGTGAGTATCTATTCTTCTAAATTTGCTGAGTTCAAAAACTAAGGCCATACATACATATGCAAAACCTAAATTACTGTTTTACATATCTTGGTACTTTCAGTACCCAAGAGACATGATGATCCTGAATCAAGGGAAATTTCTGAATGGAGACTAGCTTATCAATTGTTGTTCAATATTTATGGAGAATTATAGCAGTAAAGCAATTCTGGAATAAATGCATCTTCTTTGCAAACTATGCACTATCCTTCTCTATCTATTTCCTAAAAATAGAGACAACCTTAATGAGGCAACTCCAGATCAAATCAAATGAACAGTTTTCTGCATTCTATTTGCTACTAATCACCCCTGAGCGCAATTCATATCTATATTAAACAGCCTTGTAACGTGGACCAAGAGTGTCTGTTTGAAAGGCCTGGTGATATTAGCAATTTAGCTTTATGACTGAAAATTACCAGAGCTTTCTGCGCCCTGTCCTCTGCGATCTCATAACATTCATTTCTCCTCTATTACAAATGTCCTGACTATTATCCCCTGGAGACATGGGCTAAGTTTTACTTGTCTCTCTTTCCTCTAATGCACCAAACGCCTGATTCACAGTAAGTTATTGTTCAATGGCTGAATAAAAGGATATGAGTAGAAAGCCTTCCACTTCCAATGATGTCTTGCATGCCTCTTAGTCACTGATAATTCTGAGCTCATTATAGATATTAATTTCACCAACCCCATCATGTGTTTATATAGTATTTAAATTAATACTTTATCCTACCCATTGTCCATAAGCAGGTAATAATTATTCAGGTATCTGATTGTTATCCATTTTTTGAAACAGTACAGAACTCTGGAGTCACATTTCAGCAATTACTATTTCACATCTAGGTCCCTGTGGCAGGTGTTTGCATTACCAACAAAACTGCTTTAGAGAGTATGCTGAGGGGTAATTAGAGTCCCCCTAACTACTTCGGCCAGGTGGTTTGACTGTGCTATACAGGTCTTAAATAACCTTTGCTTTAGGTTTTCTTACCATGCATTTTTTATAGAATGGAGGTTCATGTGAGATAAAAGCTTTATGTGTTCCAACGCATTTGAGCAATGCTGCCTAATATATTCTCTCCTTTGATATTGACACATAATAAAAAGCTCTTGAGAAATCATATTTTAACTGAAGCCTAGTTAAAGGTCAGCATTTCTGAAACATTTTTGTAGCACCTAATAATTCTGCTTAGAACTAGCGCTCTATGCAGCGGTCCCCAACATTTGCGGTCAGGGACCGGTTTCCTGGATGAGGTGGAGGTTGGGAAGGGGGTGGATGGTTTGGGATGATTCAAGCGCATTTTGTTCAGGCTCACCTCCTGCTGTGATTTCCCAACAGGCCCAGATCAGTACCAGTCCATGGCCTGGAGGGTGGGGACCCATGCTTTAAAGAACATACATCGGAAAAATGTTTCTTTAATCGAATCCCAAAAATCCTAGTAGATTCGCAGTAAGTGGGAATATATTTTTACCAACTATGAAATTATCTCAACACAGACTTTGATACTGTTGTGGCTCATACTCTTTAGTCATATTTTCCAAGAGTTGTAATTTACTAGTAAAAGAATAAACCATCATGGGTTTGGTTACTTTCTATTCCAGAGTTAGTAATTCCACACTTTGCAACTGGCATAATAAGTGAGTATGAGCGCCTTTTGCATAAGACGATGACGTCACTGGCACCCATCTGCAGGGACAGGACTTTGATCTGCTCTTGGCATCTCTAAGGAGGTGGTATGTGAACTAGATTTAGGAACACAGCTCACAGGAAAAGCTATCTCAGGTTTTAGACTTTTCATGCTGAACTGGAGTTCCTAGGCAGTGTAGTTAGTGGAGAAAGCATGTCCCATAATTCTTAGGTAAGTTTCTTCAGATGACTCTGAGTTATTCAAGACCTCATCGACGTTTTGTTCTGTAAAACCGAATCAGCAAATCTTCATGCCTCCCGTGACATTCAGTGAAGTGTGCACGCGACCCAAACGGAACTGCTATGGCGTAAACGCACACTTATCTTCTGTTTTGAACAATGGTGTGTGGCAGGCAGGATGGTTCACCCATTTTACACATTGAAAAACTGAGACCTACATATAAGGGGAATAAACTCCAGCTCTTCTGACCTATAATTCAGCACACGTTTCAGTCCACTTCATTACCTTTGAAATTAAGTAAATAAAGTCTTAAGAGTTTCCTTTTGATCATTCCCATGTCATATAGATACTCTTTTTAAAAAATTAATGGGTTTTCATAACTGAAGTTTCAATGAAGAAATATAGGATACTATGCCCATGATTAACATTTTTATTGTAATTTAATTTCCATAATTTTTAAATTTTTACTTTATACTCAGAATACCTGATTTTCTTCTCAGAGGGCTACCCCAATATGCTTAGCTTATTTTATTACTTAACTTGCTTTTATGCTGCTATTCCAAAGAAAAGCAGTAGAGATTTTACAGTGTAAATGAGGTAGCTCAGTTCAGTGTGGTATGTGTGTGTCTTTCAATGAAAAAGAAACTACTTTCAGATTGCTTATCTTTCTTTTGTCATGAAAAATACTAATAGTCAGTGACCGAGAAGGATGTTTGAACATTAGTAATAGACACTTATTTCAAGCAGGTCGATGCTATGGAGTTTCACACCCTGTAAGACTATTATCTCTGGATAAACTTTTGCAATAAAACTCTTCCTTAGTAGACATATATTTTCTAGGGTAAAGCCTCAGGAAGTGACAGCCTTGTAAAATTAGGAGCAAGTGCTTACAGGAAATGGTTCCAGCTATGTGTAAGATCAACTCTCAGCTTTAGGTAATTGGTGACAAATAACCCCACATTTTCTTTGCAAGCACACAGCTTGATTTCCTTAAGAGACACACTACAGTCAGATTTAATAATCCAGGCTGCACAAAAAATTGCTTAGATGTGGATGCTCCAGAGACTGCTTTCATTTTTTCCAGCCAGCAAATGACATAGGACTAAGAGAAGGACTGATAATATTTTTTTAAAAAGGTGCTCTTTTGACTTGATAAATTCCCTTGGATTACTTATGAAGACTGTAACAAGAAAGAATGTGCATTCTTGAAACTAATTTATTTTACAGGTATTTCTGAAGAGCTAGAATCTGCCATAATTCTTTTATGAGTAGAAATTAGTTTGCTTCTTTTTTTTCTGACACAACTGTTGGGAACAACATTACAATGAGATGATAAAGATAAAATGAGCAAGTCCATTTAATATTTCCCTGTAGTATGCAGCACAAACTTTGACCTGAATGAATACATTTTATTTTTTGGTAAACAGTTTGATGATTTTTATGTATTCTGAAAGCACCAGATTTTCCCATGTGTGCAGGAGACCTGGCTAGCTATTGTCAAACCCACAGAATAAATTCCAGACTTCATCACTTGCTCCAAGAAGTCTAGACACCGCATCACCAAGATAGTTACACGAAGAGGGGAAAATGGTGAGACAGGAGAGAAATTGTATTTTTGCCTAAGTTAGGACAAACTCTTTCTGTTACTGGGCAATCATTAACAATTTCCAAGGAAACAAAGAAAGAAAACTTAAATTTTTAGTTTTGGATTTACATTTTTTTCCTCCACCAAAACAAACCAAACTAAAAAAAATGCCATATTTCTTGTGAGGAAACATATTTTTATTATTTGTACAGCAAAGGAGGGGCAAGAAAATTCCCACATTTCAATTTTTGGAATTTCCTAAAGTAATTTATTAAGCTTACTCGTTTGGTGTTACCATGACACTATTTACATGGTAAATTGGTACTTATAGTCCTTGCAGTATATAAAGTTCATAAATCTGCTTAGCAAATTTCAGCAAGGGAAGTTGTCCAGGCTCTGTGAAACCCAGAAAGTCAAAGGGAAGTATACAGGAAAGTTATGAAATGCACCTCAGAAAGAAAGTTGAGCAGAGAAAGCAGCAATTGTGGTAGATGATACTGGCAGTGTGCAGCGTGAATTACTTT